TTCAATTATTCATTCCCCTCGGCGCCGCCCCCGCCCTTCCCCCACCGCGCCTGGGCTGTGGCCGGATGGGGGCAGCCCCCCTGGGAGAGGAGAGGGGGAGGGGAGGGGAGAGCATTCCAGGTCACCCTCTCCTTCCTTCCTCGGAGGCTTGGGGCCCCAGTCTCATGCCTTCTGCCTCTCAGCACCCCCCACCTCCCTCTCCACTTCCTTCTTTCCTCATTTCTTCGCCGCCCCCTCTCCATCCACTCTTCTGTTTACCTTCAATGGTCTGGGTCTGAGGAGGGTAGGGGACCAGGCACTTGGAAGTAAGGGGCGGGCACCCCAGTAACCCACTGGCAATCACTGGATGCTCACACGCCACTTCCTAGTTGTCAAAGTGTTCACATATTGTTCCATCCCTTTCTTTGATCTTGAGAGGTCTCTTCTTATTGTCTTCTTATTGCTTTTAAGCTGAGTAAACGGCTGCTCTGAGAGTAGCTGTCTCCTCCCACTCTCCCCTTTCCCCCGCTCAGAGACTGCCTTCATCTGGCCACAGCTCTAGTAGAATAGAGGCAAGGAAGGGGATAACATCAGAGGGAGAGAGATGGGAGGAAACACCAGGTGGAGGAAAGAGCAAGTGCAAAGGGTTGGAGGCCTAAGACTGGAGGGCATGTTTTCAAGGAAGTCTGGATCACAGATCCAGGGAAGTGGAAATCTAGGAAAGATGGGGCTGGAGGGTTTCGAGGCATGAGATCGTAAAGGACCAAAAGATGTGCTTTATCTAGGAAGCACTGGGGAACCACTGCAGAATTTGAGCAGGGGAGTAATCAGGATTTGGAAAGAAGACCCTGCAGCCAGAGGAGAGATGTGCTTGCAGGGAAGCAGCCTAGGGGTGGACAGACCAGAGAGAGAAAGCAATAATCCAGAAGAAGGGTAGGGTCCCTCATGCATCCCAGATATCCCCTGTTCACCACCCCACCTTGCCCATTCCTCCTTTGCTCAGATTGGATGTACTAGGGCATTTATTATACAAATGCTCATGTAGCAGTTTCTCTTTGCTTAGGACCTTTCTAAGCACAGTACATTTACTAACTCATTTTATCCTCGAATTTGTGAGATAGTTTACATTTTCCTCCCATTTTACAGATGAAGAAACTGAATCACAGAGAAGTTAATTTGTTTGGAATTACACAGTTGTAAGTGCTACAGTCAAATTCAAATCCATCATCTGGCTCCAGAATAATCTTTTCTACCTTCCAAGGGGAGGATGAGAGAGGTGAGAAGGGGAGGAAAGAAGAGGGAAGGAGGAGAGGATTGAGGATCACTATCTCAGAGTGGCAACAGAGAGAGACTGTGGCCTGGGGTCAGGAAGGAGGAGCCATTTGCAGTCCTGCAGCCCAGCATCTCTTTCGTGTCCAGGGACAGTTTTGGTCCCAGCAATGCTCAGGAGGTTGGAGTGCCAGCTGTGATTTAAGGCTGAAAATGGAGGAGGAAGAGTTAAATAATTTTAAGGGAATTTTCCAGGCTGGATTCAAAGCTGACAGTCTTTATTCACTGGCATGTGTAGACTGGTGGGAGTTTTTGTGGGCTGGGCTGGAAGGGAGTCCAAATCCCAAAGTAATTTAGGCAGGAGCAGTCTCTTCCTTTCCCTTCTCCCCTACAACCCTAGGCAGGGAGATTCTTGGAGTGCACAGAGCCCTGGACAGAGGGAAGATCTGACCCCAGATCCTCTTATGGCCCTGGGCCAATTCTGCATGTGTCTGGATGGGGCCAGAGTTAGAGTCTCTCCTCTGGGCCCCACCCAGTGGAAGTAGCCCTTCTACCTTCCATGTCTCATCACATCCCAGGATCAGTCTATTCAAACAGGCAGTAGAAGACACCCTTTTATGTCTAAGACTTTAGAGCCAGGAAACCTGGGTTTAAAACCTACTCGTTCCTTCCTAGCTCCATGACCTTGGGCAAGTCACTCAATTTCTCTTAACTTCAGAAAAGAAAGTAAAATGATGGGGGTGGGGTGATAACCAGTGCCTTTCTTCTAGGGTTGTGGTAAAGATAATACTGATTATTAGCTGGGGTGATGCCTCCTTCAGGAAGCCCTCCCAGATCTCCCAGCTGTGCCTTGCTCCTTATCCCTCAGAGAAGTCTCCCTGACTCTCCCATTAAGAGCTTCCATGACACTTTAGTCTTTTCCTTCTTAGCATCAGTACACTGGCAATTTATCTTTTTATGTTTGCCTGTTTGGAGTTGCCTGGGAGCTCCATGAGAGTTGGGACAGTTCATCTATTTTCTTCCCTAAGAAATTGCCCAGTGCTCAGTTCTATACCTGGCGCTCAATAGGTATTCTATACAAATCATTGAACCAATGAATGAATGAATGAATGAATGAGTGAGTGATCAGTCCTGTGAAATACATTCTGCTATTCTCCCCATTTTATAAACAAAGTAACTAATTCAGACAAGGGCAGTGACTTCTGTATATATCCAGCCCTTCTGTGTGTTAGGAGCTGTGCTAAGAAATGTACTAATATTACCATATGTTATCCTGAAACCAGCTATTTTTGGGAGTGAGGAAACTGGGACTCAGGGAGGTGCTGTCACTTACTCAGGACCATTAGTTAGAAAGTAGCAGAGTTCTCATTCAAGAACTCTAGTTCAGGCAACTGGAGGAGTGAGACAGAGTAGGGATCTGATGGGGTGCATAAAGTGTGGGTCAGGGGGAGTGACCCACCTGTCAGTGGTACTATAGAGAGGACTCTGCCCTCAGTGAGTTTGGACTGGTGTATTCTGAGTGGCCTGATATCAGAAATCAGGAATTCAGACTAACACCAGTAAGGAAGTACAGGGGATGGTGTTCCACTGAGGTTGGGGACAGAACAGCTTGGGCAAAGTCTCTGCAATGGGACTGAGCCAGGCTCATTTAAGGGCTAAGAGGATTCTGGGTCTGGCTGGTGTGGAAGGTGAAGGTGGACTATAGCTGATCAGAAGTGGGTAGGTCCTTTGAGACCTCATCCAGTTCCCTGAGCACTTCTCTCACTTTATAGACAGGGACACTGAAGCCCAGAGAGAAGTATATATAGCAAGCAGAAAATCTGGGAGCTCTTAGTCCACAAGGGCATGGTCTCTGGGCATTGTCGGGAATCACTCTTAGGAACAGCCTTCATCACATTTCCTCAATTAGCCAAGAGCTCAGTCCATACCTACTGCACCCTCTGCTTGGACCAGTTTCTAATAATATTCCTTTGGTTCCAGTGCAAACTCTGCACAAGATAATTGACACAGCATTGTTTATATCAAGAAAAATTGGGAACAACCTGTATGCCCTTTAGTAGGGGACTGGCTAAATAAATCATGGACTTCCTGACAATGGAATGGCATGTAACAGTAAAGGAGGTGACGAAGCACTCTATCTCTTTACACAAAGAGATGTCCTTAGGAAAAAGCAAGGGACTGAACAGGGGAAGGCTGGGTGAAAAGTAGGACTAAGAACCACTATTTGTATTTGTTTGTATATGCATAAAGAAACTTTGGATGTCTACAAAGGGAAATGAGGTTACTAGGGGGCACTGGGCAGAAGGAAAAGGCA